CCCACACCATCCACACACACATCCACACCCTTTCTGCTGTTAAGTTTACTACGGTTCACGCTCTTCAGTAGAACGAATGCAATTCGATCAAAATAGATCGTGGATGCCTTATTTTGTTGTATCAGATGAAGTGATTTTCAGAATGTTTTTCATCAAATTCAGAGAATCTTGTTTTAATGTTTTACAAAGGACCGCTTCTGATACCAAAACATCAAATCTATTTTCGTTTTGTCGTGTCTGTTACTGTTCAGGAAAAGATTCAAAATTACATTGTTCCTGAACTTTTCATCTCCAGCTTATTTTTTTTATCTAATTTTCCTTTTGTATGAAAACTAAAATGCAAAATGTAAAGTGATATCATTGTCTATTTAATCTACATTAGTCATCAGCTAAATAAATACAGGATAGAATGTAAAATATTCCTAGAACATATACTGAAAAATATTTCTAGGTTCAGAACAAAAATGGACGCCACGTTCTCTTGATGAACTAAAAACAAGCTAAAGATGAAGTACAGAATCAATTTGATCTTCTTGATAAAGAATTACATGAATCATTAACTGAACTTAAAAACGAAAAATTAAAATTAAGTTCGGATATTCAAAACAAGAACAACTTGATAAATAATTACGAAAATTAACAAATTCTATTCAAATACTTAAAGATGAAATTGAAACTGATAAACAATCATTAGGACCAATTAATGTAAGTTTGATTAAAAGAAAAAAAATTATTATTAAAATAATATTTTATTTAGAATGCGTATGATGCTTTATTTGAATTTCCGGACACGCTTTTTGTTTCCTGTTTAACAAGATATAGGCGGTATAAGAAGGTATAAGAAGGTATAGGAGGCATAGGAGGTATAGGAGGTGTAGGAGATATTGATTAATTGGTACAGATGATCATTCAATAATATTTAAATTTAAACATCTATTCATAAAATATACTGGTGCCCCTTGCCAATGCTTGCTCGAAAAAATCAATTCCTATGCCTCCTATACCTCCTATACCTCTTTATACCTCCTATACCTCCTTATACATCCTTCACCTCCTATATCTTGTTAAACAAGAAACAAAAGAGGTGTCCGAAAATTCAATGAATTTCCCGAAAATTCAATGAATTTCCCGGAAATTCAACTGAATTTCCACGAAATTCAAATAAAGCATCTAATCTTAGAATGATATTGAAATGAAAACAAAAGAAAAAAGTTTAATTAATATCAGAAAAAGAGAAAACATTATATCAACTTACAGAATCTGTTTGTATATTTTTTTTTCATTTAAAATTTTTATTTAATCTATAGGTTAATGCACTAGGACAAAAACTAGATGAATTAAAACATTAACAACAGCAGTTAATAAGTATGTTAAAAAAAACAAAACTACGAGAAAAGAACTTATCTAAACCCGCACCAAAGATTATAGTTAAATGCTCTCTGATTTTAAGGAACGCATCTTATATATTTATTTGAACTTTATCTAATTTATTTTAATCTAGTTGAATCAATTTTTATCTTGGACTTTGATAGTAAATTAATAAAAATATCTATTTTCTTTTAAAGTATCTTTTTTTTATTCATAAAAAATAAAAAAGATGTTTTCTTTTTATTCATGTTTCATCATCATTAATCCACAATGATATCATCATCATTAGCATCATTTCCATCATTACTAGCACCATTTTCATAATTATGAATAAGATTTGTATGATTATTAACCGGGTGTATATAATAGGTTCTGTCCTTTGGTAAATTATTCCATTGATTCTTCCGAATTTGCCTAATGTGACCGGCAAATAACTTTCAAATTTATGACCTTGATTATCCGTGATGTATATATGTGATCAATATCGATCTTTCGGACATTCTTTTAATGGTAAAAATTTGAACATTAACTTTTGGAAAATATTACTATCAATTTTGAAATTGTTTCGACGAACGACAGTATTGATCGTCTTTTGCTTTACTTTTTTGCTATAATATGTATCCAATCGAACAGCTAATGGATATGTTAATGACTGTTCATGCTCTTCTTGACTTCGATTATCACCTTGATTCATGAATTTGATAAGTAAATGAGGAGTATCATCATTTGCTTGTGCCATATTTATTTTGATAATTTATTCTCTTTCTCGTAGAGAAGAGTCTTGCAAGAATAAATTGTTTGCTTGCTTGTATGTCCGCACTTCAGTGATTGGTCCAAAATAAGGTGAACATAAAAGGGATTATTTTTCATAACACTTGACCAAAGAGTAATCGAGGGTGAGAAATCCGAATCTGAGGTTAGTTTTAATTAATTATTAACTAATTAATTATTGATTATTAATTATTGATGTTTGATATAAAACTTCACTAATGTTAATTAGGGTTGAGGAATTCAAATATGAGAGAATACATCCTATTCCGCAATGTTGCACATTGCCGGAACCAGTTCCGCCCCCAGAATCAGCTCCCTCAATTCCGGAATTCCTATAATGACCCTTTCATCTTATTCCGGAATCCTAACAACCTAATTCCCACCAATTCCGGAATTCCTAGAGCCTAATTCC